GGCATTTGCGTCTTTATCCCTCAAAAAGTGCAGCAAATTCGGGATACGTGAATGTGTGACCCAATTTCTCCAAGTACTCTGTCACCCTGCTGAAGGGGAGGAAAAATGGTTTGACTGTGAGAGACACAGCGACAAGACACAATTCACGAACAAATTTGGAGAAAACAGCTCAGCGAAAATGCCTGCCTCAGCTTCAAGATCACAGGAGGATTGATGGATTTATACACTCACGGGGAGAATAGTCAATTATTCTCACGGGTGAAATGGAAATTGGACGTTGTGACTTTCCCTCCCGCATCTCCGACATGAAAGGAAATAGCCATCTTTTGCTTGTTGCTAGTTTGATAGTGTAGTTTCTTTGGGGTTTTCAGAGTCTCGCCAGCTTGATTATGCCGGGCTTCCGCAACAGACGTGCGAGATTAGTTGGTTCTTCCGCACTGAGTCGGAGCCTAACTCCAGGCAGCGGACCGGAGACGTCCATGTGCAAGGTGTTCCATTAATCATACAACACAAACTCCACTGAAGGGCAGTGCCAAGGAGGTGGATTGCGTCTGTTGGCCCCCTTTGGCCCGACGGTTGGCGAACCCCATGGGGGAGACGAGTCTGTCACAAAGGGGGCACGTTGTGTCCTAGCTCAGCACTTAAACACACTTCTTGATGCCCTTGAAAAATGCAAGCCAACTTTGTGACAGGAAAAATTTGGTTTAATAAATGGTGGGAAGAGTAAACATCAGGGCTTAGATTGATTATGCGCTTGAGGAGACTAAACCAGTGCTGTTGTTTCCACTGAAACAAACATCTTTGCTCTTTTGTCAGAGGCCATAACTTATCATTGGCTCGCGCAGATTATTTTCTTGACCTGAGGATGTGTGCCTGCTCGTGTGGGGTGGGGGAAGAACACAGATGCCGAAGCTGCCGCAGCATTGTGTGATTGGGGTCTTTCTCTCTCGTTCTCTGAGGACAGAGAGTGATTGATCTAAAGAGTGTCTGAGTCCTGGTGCAGCAACTGTAAATAACCTGAAACTCATCTTTATTCAGACCTCTCCACCTACGTATTGACCCAAACACTGCACAAAATCGAGCACTGCAGCACCGTCCCTTTATGGACATAACACAGTCCCCGTATGAGCAGACCTGTCAATATTTTAGTAATGACATTATAATCTAAAATTGTGACCTCTCTTCCTGTGGGGCAAGTCAATTACAAGGGACTCATATCTGTTTGAACGGTATGCTTTTATGTTTAGAGCAATCTTGTTTTTTTCAAATCAACAAATCAAAGCGTTGCATCCTGAAAATCTCATTACTTTCCTTTTCCCCAGCAAATCTTCAGTTACTTCAAAGCCTTCTTTTACAGAAGTGAAATGTCAAGCAGCTCAAATAGAAGGGAGCCCTCTGCTGTTTGTCAAGAGTTACTGCTTTGCCACCTAATAGTTTTTTCTTGCACGCAAGACAGCTACAGTTAGTCAGCTTCAGCTATACACTTCAGTGTCAGTTATCACTTTAAATATGGATATGTGATTCCGCAAATGCAGGTCTTGGCCAAAGCATTGACTTTTAACATGCTACACTAAATAAACTGGCTTCCTGGTATTCAGCACCACCATAAAGTGAACAGCTCCCTGAGTCGTGTGCACTCTCTTTCAGCAGCCCTCCCCTCATCCAGCAGACAGCTCCTTTACCACTGTGAGTGAATAGGCTCTTATTTATAGAGCACAGCTACTTTATGATGTCTTTTGAAACACTTGTCATCGTAGTCCAGCAAAGACCAGGCTCCGGCTTGCAGGTTTTGTAGTTTAGGAGGGAGCGGATAGCTAAAAATCGATCCACCAACTTTTATGATCAGGCAGCAAATTACACATAACAGCCACAAATCACAAAGCTATTTTGCTCCATTTATGAGCAGTTAATGCTATTTAGTAATGGGAGTGAATTTCAGCCAAGTGTGCAGAAAAAAAGTTGCAATTGTGTGTTTTATTTCTTGGCCTTTATTTGAGCCAGTGATCAGCTATTAAGCGGCCTGACGGCTCGCAGGGCTTTGCTCACAGGTGGTGCTATAAATAATGCATGGACTGTAACATATAGAAATTGAAGTGCTCTCTCTTCATTCTGATACAGTGGCTTTTGAAACTGATTTTTATGCAGTCTGTCAAACTTGAAGGTCTCAACTTAATGTTACAATAATCTGTTTCTAAATTAGCATTCATAGCGCGTGCTAGCCAGCTCTGTCTGGGTTTTAGTTCAAATATTATTGTTGCACTTATTATGAAAAGAAAAGGAAATCTACCAACTTCCAAACTTGCTTTTCTAATAGATATTGCCACAAAGCAAGTGTTTAAAGTAACTATCATATTTAATCATCTCCGCAATTCACACCGTTCCCACCTTGTTCGCCCGTGCTGTTGTTTTGCATCTATTTCAGAAGTCCCCCGGAGCTTTGCGATATTTTCAAGTTAAAAGGTGTTTTATTATTAATGGAACTTTGGAAACCTCTCTTTGGAAAGTCTCTTCTCTTACGCACAAATCTAAAAATGAACCCTCTGATGCCAGAAGACCTATAAATATTTTGGTGAGGATATCAGGACAGCTGCAGTTGCCAAAACAAGCTCCATAACATCTTCTAAAGCGCCCCACATCCAACGTTCAACCCCAACTTTGCTCAGTCAATCTCAGGCCGTGACATTGTGCGCAGATAACCCTGTGCCCATTCTGTTTGCTTGCTAATACATAATTATTTTTCAGAAAACACTGTGTTGGTGAGCTATGAATGACTGCGTGAGCTGTGTTTCAGAAATGAGCCCAGGTGGAAAATCGAAAAGAATGGAAATTGGAGTTTTTTTGCATAAAAGAAGACATTTTGTGGTGGGTGAAGAAAGAGTTGACGGTGTACTGCATCTGTTTTGAGTAAGGCTGGCAATGTAGCCTTCACATGACCAATTTTATTCCCATGCAGTTTACGTGACATCCATTAAGTGGGCTTATCAATATTTATACGTCTGGAGCTAAAAGAAGAGAGGACGGGGAGTCAAAGGTGAATCGAAACCCATCAAGTAGAATCCCACATGCCTTTACATTCATCTCTAATAGACAGCTTTGGTGCCTTAGTATGAATTAAGTAAATGGCATATCAAGTGGCAGACTGCTTGTATCTATTGTGCCGTTTTAGACTGAAGCCTTGCTATTGTTGACCTCTGTACTGCTCTTCTGGGATACATTGATATTTTGCTCCTCCCATTTTGTCACACGCCTGATCCAATCTCTGTGTTTAATGAGCCATTGCTCTCGCTCTCTGGATTTGATCTAAGCGAACAGACAACGGCTATGTATTGCTGTCTCCCATAATCCTTTGGGTTCCCTGGGTCACACCAAAATCAACAATGCCATTGAATGGTTAAACAGGTCATTGGAGTCAAACTGCACAAATTTGTCATTTGTTTTTTAGGTTGCAAGATGTGACGGAAAATGTCAAACCTTACATGATAAAACAATCCTTTAAGATGTTGATTTTGCATTAGGCAGCATTGTTTGTCTACTCTCAGTGTGATCTTTACTTTATCTTCAGGACTGCAAGCTCATGGAAGTCTCTTCGAGGTAGAACAGTCAGCACGTCACCTGAAGGTCATGGATAAATAAACAAGAGGATTTAATGTGGCGAGTACAAGTACAAATTGAACTCTGAACTACTTTGTTTTATCTTGCGAAGTGGAGACGGCCCATAACACAGTGCTATTAAGCAGACACAAATTATCCCAGTGGAGCAGGGAGCGTTTGATGGATATGGAGGGTAGTCTTTATACTTCTGTGCTCAATGAGCAGTGCAAAGTTCTTTTTAATAAACTAATTTAGTTTAAAAAAATAAAATCAGCTTCAATACGTGAATCATTCAAAACCATTACTGACTGATTCCTCAATGAACTCAAAACATTTTTGGGTTACAGTATGTCTGATTCAAAATGGACCTGTTACTGTGATAAGTATACTTTAATATAAATGGTTAGGTGTTAAATGTCTGTTTAGGTGACATGATAAATCAACATTTGACCCTTTTCCACCCATACAGGTGATTATTATTATTTTTTTTTACAAAATGTTTTATTGATTGGTTTATTTATCTGTTGTTTGTTTATCTATTCTTTTACAAAATATGGTGAAATGTATATAGCACAAATAATACAGTGATCACTTTTAATATTTAAAACATTTAATACAGCTAGTACAAAAAATTTAAATTGACATAAACTGAATCTACTAAATAGACTAAATCTCCCTCATATTCATTTTTTGTCTGGAGCCCTGTTACATAATCATAGATTTTTAAGGGGGCTTACAGATTGATTTCAGATTTTTAAGAGGACTGAGATGAAATTGAGGTCTAGAAATCTAATCAAAACTGTTATTATAACAAAAAACAAAGAAACAAACAAAAAAACACCGTTATCAGTAAGGTATAACCAAAAATGGGTTTCTTTCTTTCTTTCCTTCTTTTTTTTTTTTTTTTTTATTACATTTTTTTATAGAAAACCGGTAGTTGCAGACTAAATGATTGGCAGTTGCTGGACAAGGGAGGAGCCACAATCTCAAAGATGAGTCCTCTCTATTATCATAAACTACCTCCGCCCACCCCACTGTGGATCTCTCTCTAGCTCGCTCACTCTCTCTCTCTCTCTCTTTCCTCTGTTAATTCAGTTCTGAACAGCGCCGGGTACTGATGCTGCTGCTCCTGTAGTCGCATCTATCCTGGGGGCCTCCTCCCACTCATCACAGCTCGAGAATCCGCATGTAGAGCCGCTCGGTCTCTGTCGCAGAAAAGTCTCCGCAGTACTGCATCGGAATAAGGGCTCAGTGCAAAAAATCTTCTTCAGCTGTATTCGTGGCTGTGAGTGTGGCGCTTTTCTGCATCAGCGCAAAGGAAGTTCTGTTCAGTCGTGCGGTGGGTGATGCACTGAGATGCGTCGTGTTTAGCGCACGGAACCCCGATTTATTCGCCTAGACGGGATGATGCTGCTGCTCCTGTAGTCGCATCTATCCTGGGGGCCTCCTCCCACTCATCACAGCTCGAGAATCCGCATGTAGAGCCGCTCGGTCTCTGTCGCAGAAAAGTCTCCGCAGTACTGCATCGGAATAAGGGCTCAGTGCAAAAAATCTTCTTCAGCTGTATTCGTGGCTGTGAGTGTGGCGCTTTTCTGCATCAGCGCAAAGGAAGTTCTGTTCAGTCGTGCGGTGGGTGATGCACTGAGATGCGTCGTGTTTAGCGCACGGAACCCCTATTTATTCGCCTAGACGGGGGAATAGAAAACCCAACAGTGAATGAGGCGCATTTTAACTTTGTCTGATATTGATTCGGATTTGCTTGGGAGATCTTGAGCATCAGGATGTTTTGACGGGCGCTCTCCAAACGGGTTACTGAAGATTTCGCCTCCAAAAGAAGCGCATCCGAGGCAAAAAAAAAAAAAAAAAAGCAACGGCTGACAGTTTGAAAGGAGGAAAAGCAGCCTCTCTGCACAGGATTTAAAACTACCATCGCTTCGGCATCTTTCTTGAACCTAACGAGGATAGATTTTAACAGAAGGAGAGATGAAAGTTTTTCCGGCAGTATTGTTTCTGATCACATTTTGGAGTCTGGAGTGGGAGCCTGTGCTTCCCGATTCAATTATTCACATTGGTAAGTTCAGATCTCGTTTCATTCAGACTCGTCTCCACGTTGAGAAGATCTGTGCATTGTCGTGCAATTCGTTAAGATGTTGCATCTATCGAGTTTCGCGTTGAAGCGGATGCGTAGATGCCTTTAAATAAGGTTGCGACTGTAATATCGGGTTAGAGAGACGAAGATCTCCATCTGTCCTCATCAATGCGTCCATTATGTATACGATGGGTGAGAACAGGTGGTTTGACTGGAAGCGTTTCCTCGCAACGCCGCATTGTATGCGCGCCACGTTATGACATCGTTTAAAAAAACACAAACTTGGATATGCAGAGATCAAGAGTGTTGGTAATACTCTTCGTAAAAGGGCTGAACGAACGCGCACGTGCGCGTGCATGCTTTAGCGATGGGTACGAGGATTGGCACTGCGCGCGGGATCGGAGAGGGTCCAAGAGAGGTCTTAAATCAGAGCTGTAAATGAGAGGGTTCCTCCGAGGGGCCACTGTGTGGAGGTGGAGGCAGGGGTGCTGGGGATTTGGCAGGAGTCAGTTTGGCGTGGGAGCATGCGCGTGTTTAATTTAATTAAGGCTTGATGCACTAAACAATAAATATTGTAGCGCATGTGTTTCTGGCTAGGTGACGTGTGCATGCCTGAAAGTTGGTTAAATAAGTCACGCGTTATGCAGGCATCAATACAACATCCACAAATGATCCATTTAGGCTACATACAAGAGTTGAAATGGCCAATGTCTGTAAAATGATGTGGCTAACATTATGAGTTTGGGTGTAGCGGTATGTCGGAAAAAATAAAACAATATAATATATCAAATATATAGGCTATATAAACAAGGCAGTAGGCTATGTCGATTTACAGTAGCAACTGTTGAGTAAAAAGTTTGAATTGGCTTATAATTTGTGGAGTGTGGTTCGTTTATTTACAATAGTTAGTTTCTTTTTGCATTCTGTCATTGAGTTAATGTCACGCCTTTGTTTTAGTGTTATTTGTGTTTGCATGAGAAGCACTTTGCTCTGTTTGTTGATTGGTCACAGTTGATGGAGACGCCAGTTGCAATGATCTTTAAGTCATCACATGACCTTCCATTGTACCACCTAACACTCGTAACAAACATTGTAAGAGTTTAAGTAGGTTGATATATTAAACTTATATCGTTTAATGATATATACTTGCAGTTAAGGCATGTAATCCATTCACTAAAAAACATACTGTATGGTAATACGTGTGTAACTGTATTTTCATCTATCTAGTTTTACTAGCCTATTGACGGCAAAGATCTGGCAAAGGCAGCTGCCAATTTTTAACATTTTTTATTTAACATTTTCTATACCATGTAATATGTATACTACCCATCTGATCGATGCACTTTGTAATAATTTAATGGAAAAAATATTTGTACTTAATCTAGTGCATATCTACCATAGCAAACAGGTGGATATTCAGGACATTCAGGATATTTGATCTTAATCCAGAATTGTCACATATGGTCCTCTACCTTTATGGGGAACAATAGATACAGAAGCAGATGAATATTTGTTCTTGCCTTCTCTTATACACCGTAAAATGCTTTTGCGTGTTTCAGAGGGACTCTAGACATGCGTTGAGAACAGACCGTTTTGCCTGTCATTAGTAATGCCCTCCTAATCTTTTCTCTGCAATAGCTTGGTGAAAACGTGATGTCATTTGAATGCGAAAACGGCATCGTTTCTTTTCGGAGAGACGACTGATGAAGGCATTTTATCACACTCGCTTTACTTGATTGCAGAGGAGCCTTCCAATGATGTGCACACCAAGAGAAGCATCTCGTGCGCTGCATCGAAATGCTGCAGCTCCTTGAGGAGCCCATTGAGAAAGTCAGTGATTTATGTGGGTGGAAAGCCCAGAGTGTCCAGCAGTATGCGGGTGCACCTCCAAATGCGCCTTTTAGTACCGATCAAGAAGTGTCAGGAGACGGCATAGGTCAGCTTTGAAGTTGGGTCCAACCTAGAGACTGATGATTAGGTAATTATCCCAACATTAGTACAGACGTTTGGTTTGCTTTGGCCAGTAGTCCTTGAGGAATTTTGATCAAGGTTCCTATCTCGCCACCTAGTGGTTGCGATTCTCTCCCCAAACTTGTACTGCGGGGGTATTCAAACCTTTTCAGGTTAAAGTGCCTTGGTAGATCGAGAGAACCATTATTACATATATTCTTTAAATTATATTTGTGAATAAATTGTGTAATATGACAATTATTGTTTAATCGAATATTTTTGTGAAGTAAATGTATAATACATTTTAAAAAATGTAATCATATATTTATTTACTTCACAAAAACTATTTTGAGATCAAACAATAATTGGCAGACCCCCTGCCGCACCAACTGTGGACCCTCTGTTCTAGACCCCTGCTCTTTGCACATTCTATTTGAAGGATATTTGCATTCTTCATCTTGTGTTTCAGCCATATAGTGATGCCTTCAAAGATATTCCATGTAATATTAATTTTTTTCCTCAGATGCACATTTTCAGACGTCTAATTGGTTGGGAGCTCATGATATAAATCTTGCAGTACCTGTTTCATTCGAATGAAGTCTACTCAACACCATCTATGTTCACAATAGATGTAGAGTGTGTACTAGATTTTGTCTGCGACAGTTTTCATGGTGTGGATCGCCCTCATTCTCAGGAAGATTTGACATATTGAGAGCACGTCTGGGGCTCTTAGGGGATATCACAACACTCTCCACTGACAGTATGTGTTTTCGGTCTGGCTGAAGCTTCTTTGTAATGTAGGTTGCGTGTATGACATTTATTGCGCAACTGAAAAGAATAGACGGGAGGGGGGGAACAATATCAAAGCTGGTCAGGGAATCAAATCATTATCCCTTTCCTCTGCACAGTTATGGTTAGTTACATGTTAAACTCTAAAGCCAGAGGAAATTGTAGAATATAATCCTGAGCGTTGCATTGTAGGTGGGACAGATGGGTAGTGCCATTTCGTTGGTTTATTTCTGGACCAAACTGCCGTGGCCCCCATCCCAAGAACATGGTGATAATGAGATATGCTAGCCTGCAGACTATCCTTCATAGTGATGCTTAAGCGCTCTCTCTCTCTGTCCTTCTTTGTAGTTCTACAATATAAAATAGAGGTAATGAGGAGCGATACTTGTAAAGGTCTTGTAATTACAAGCCGTGCATTGAAATGTGTTTGTTTTGATTGGATGGCTGCATTGTGCCTGCTCAGGTGTTGTAACAGAATGAAAAGTTGAAATGCTAGATATAAAAGGCTTCTGAAGATGATTAGGTGATTTGTTTTAGACTGGGGTTATTATTGTGGCATTAGCAGAGTAAATCCTTATGTTTCAGTGGAAATGTTCTCAATTAAATGGCACGTTGTGCAACATTCGGAGTTTCGGATGTAGTTAGAAGCATCATTTCTGTAATTGGTAAGCTGCCTGATATTGTACATAAGTACAAGAACAAAAATGCACCTTTCATTCTCAGTGGACTCAAGAAGTTTCATGTAAGAGCATGGGTAATTAAGCTGACATGGCCCTACTTTCGTTTCTTTCGGCTGATGAAATTAGTAATTGTACTGATAGCACAGTGAAGGTGTAACAAAATAAAGGTTGTCCTCTAGGGTGCCGCTTGCAACATTTGCATTCCTTACTCTGGAATTTGTCCCAGACCCATCAGGGAACTCTTGATCTTTTATGCTTCTAAATCACGAATCTGTGGTTTATTGAAACCCTGCAAAGATCATTTTGATTTTTGGATGAATTGCGGGGAATGATATTGGCACTTTTTCAGTTTCCCTCTCATAGTTTTTTTTAAACATTTAATTGTCTGTTATCTCATAATGTCATGTGTATCATGAACAATATTCACAATCTAAGTCAAAAAGACCAAACAAATAAATAAATAAATAAAAATAGCATTTACTATCAAAAGTGCTTTATCTGAAAGAACTCGTGTGAATAATCTTGTCATGCTCTAAGAACCATCTGCATAATATTCTCATTCTTTAAAATATCTATCTATCTATCTATCTATCTATCTATCTATCTATCTATCTATCTATCTATCTATCTATCTATCTATCTATCTATCTATCTATCTATCTAGAGGTCTGTAATTTTTATTTATTTTTTAAATGTTTTTGGACAACGTTTCTTTTTCTCACTGAAGCTTCGCTTATTTGATCAAAAATACAGTTAAAACAGCAATCAGAAATCAAGCAAAATTCAGAAATCATTCTAATATGCTAATTTGGTGCAAAAAAACAGCACTTATTTGAAATATAAATCTTTTGTAGCATTATAAAAGTCTTTACTGTCACTTTTGATCAATTTAATTTAGGCTAATCTTGCTGAATAAAAGCATTAATTCTTAAAAACAAAAATCGTACTCCAATTGTCACTTGCCGCTTGGTTTATTCATGTTTTTAAATCTAGAGTCTTTAAAACCCCAAATATAATGATATTAAACTTTGAGGATGTGTAATGGATTTTGTTTACAGTTGTTTTTTTTGCTTATCAGTTCTCATAAGATTAGGAAAAGTAACCTGATCTTCAGTGTATTTTTAAGATTAGAGCATTGAGCTTTCTCAAGCCCCAAACAGAACATGAGGGCTAATGGGGAGTTATTATTATGTTAGCAGAACACATGAGGAGAAAGTTTGCTTGAATGCGTCTGTCTTTGTGTGCTCTCGTTTGTTTCAATCTTCCACGTTACTTTGAAGTTTCGGGAGGATCTACCCGCTGTCATGAAATTTTGAGAACGTGAGGGACGTGTTTTTCCTCTTTTGTCTCATTGAATTCATGACACCAAGACGTTGAGTGATTTCCTGTGTGTTTAGCACAGAGGCTCCCAGTCGATTGCAATGCGGCACTACGCTGAACACGTCAATCAAGCCTTGCTGCGGGCGTTATGGTTTGTTACAGTGTTGCAATTACAATACATGCGCTTGAAAAGAGTGTTTCGCCTCACTAACCGCTACTCGATCGTCCATAATATCCTCATGC